ACAACAAAATAAATCATAATCGTTATTTTAAAAACTCAAGAAGCAAAATGACATCAACTGAATGAGTCAGCTCTGTCATTATTTTAATAGAATCTCTTTTTATTAGATGAGCTAATTGTTACCTTGATAAAACAGAATTTCTACACCTCTGTTATATTTAAGAGACTAACTACTCAAAGTACCTATCTAACAAGAACATGCTACTTGGTACTAATAAGATACCCATAACTGATCACATTACAAGAAACATATAAACCAATAAACCTTTTATTTTTATTACTTCAATTTATTCTGAGAAAAAAAGCTATGAAATTTAAAAATAACTCAAAACCTAACTTCTCAAATAACATTTAAAAGAATAAAAACTTTGATTTATGTCCAAAGTTAAATATTTTACATACATCCAAGTATGTCATTTCAGAACAATTTGAAATACTTTAGGCACATCTAGTACTTTGCTTACAAAGTTTTGGAATTATACACTAATGTTTTGTTAGGCAAATAAAGTCATTTTTAATGAGTGAGAAAACAGGATTAAATTTTGAATCTCAAGAACTGAACTATGTAGGATAGCATTAACAAGCACCTACAACCAAAGGCACTGTCAGATGTCACAGAAGAATGGATTAAAACTGGGATTTTTGTCTTAATCCAACCTTAAATGTTGTGAACAACATTTTCAATCAAGCCATCATAGTCATAAAAGAAATGTTTTAAGAATTTAATAGATCAACAAAAAAAAAATATATATCTAACTTCAAGTGCATGCACCATGAATTGCTTGACTGAAATTCATGTTTTAATACAATGATCACTGTAATACTTTATATACTGAGGCAAAAAACACAGGGATTTGTTTGTAATTGAACACAAAGCTACACAATGGACTATCTGTGCTCTCCCCACCACGGGTATCGAAACCCGGTTTCTAGTGTTGTAAGTCCGCAGACATACTGCTGTGCCACTGGGGGGCAAAACACAAGGAAATGGCTTTAAAATTAGACATGTTCTAAAATGTTTCATAAAAAGGAAAATTCACTTACAAATATTTAACTTTTAACTTTTACAGCTCACAGAAATTTGCCTACGACAGATATATATTTACTTTATGATTATGATAGAATACACTAAAATTCTGAATCAAATAAAAACTAGAGCAGGTCAATTAGTGGAGTTTATTAATTGATTAATCATTAGGCTCATTAATTTATTACATGAAACTAAATGAGTATTCCAATGAGACTATTAGTTAGAACAATCAAAAATAATATTCTGAAACAATAATTTTGTTCACTGCAGCAGTGAATGGTTTAACTGATAATAATAATAATAATGAGAATCACAATGGAATATTTTGATTACTTAGACAGTTGGAATAACCAAAAACACTAATTTCAGTTAGTTGATTATTCTTGTGACATCAATCAGTTTAATAATAATTTTGACTAATCAATTATTTCATGAACACTAATTGATGTAATCTATACTCATGAGTAATCTACTAAATAAATTAATTGATCCCTAATAAAAACAAAGAAAAGTAACACAAGTTCCCATATTAAATAATTCATTGTTTGTTCACAAAAAGTCTTATGCTACCATCCCTAATTATAAATATTCAACCAGAAGGAAGACAAATGGCCAGAAGCACCCACCACCAACTCATGGGCTACTCTTTTACCAACAAACAGCGGGAATGACCATCATATTATAATGCCCTCCCCTCCATGGTTAAAAAAGGGAGAATATTTGATGCCAAGATTTGATCACATGTCCTGCAGATTGAGAGTTAAGTGCCCTAACCACTAGACCATGCCAGGCCCGTAAAATAATGACAATCAGAAAATGGGTTATGTATATAAAAAATGTAGTCCTACATTGGTAGGGTTAATATGTAAATTACAATATGTGCATTATATGTTCAACTATTCAACCCTTTCACAAGGAGTGTCCCTTTAAACACTTTTCTGCACCACTCATTGTGTTACATTCAAAAGGTAATTAATTACTTTTGCTATCAATGTATGTGAATGAAATTAACATTATAATATACATGTTATGATTCAAAACTTTATGTTATCCGAGTTTTAGTCGTTTATTTCAAAAGAAACCTTTAAAAAAAACTAAAACTTCAAATGTATTGTCACATGACCAACGAGCTATGAAAATACTCTACTTTGGTACAATGGCAGTCCTTTAGACGTACATCTAGACTACAAGATGCTTACATAAACTTTTGACTTCCACTTTTCAAGGTTCTCTGAATGAATGCAGTTGAAATAAGTAATAAATTTTTGCAACCCCTGACAGATGCCATGCCCACCTTCAACAGATTTGTTTGAGCTTTAGAGTCTACATGTAGATGTTACATATACATGTATATAGTCAATAGAAAGAGCTCCTTTTACACTATAATCTAACAACCATTATTTTGAAACTAGCACACAGTTGTCAACACAGAGTACATGTAACTGACTGTAGTATTGCTGGCTGCTTGATCGAATATAGCACTTATGGTTGTTTCTTATCTAAATATGTTATAGTTAGTGATACAGTTTAAATTGTATTTAGGCCTTACTTTTATATTTCAGTTAATTATGTATTAGTTATGTTTTAAAATGCATAACTGAAAGGTTTAAACGTTTTTTAAATATACACATACATTACATTAGTTCTCAAGGCTTACAATATTATGCAGTGCACAAATATTTTGCCAAAGGGCTGTGCATGTCTGACAGAAACACTGTAATACACCTCTAGGGCACCACTGACTTGTGTTAATATGAATAAGTGGTAAAGGAAAATTAAAAATTAGCCATGTGTGAAAAGGAAAAGACCTGAAATAATAAATTTAACAAAAGAAAAATCTTTAGAGATACTCTACAAAAAATTAAAAAGTATGTTTGTTCGTTTTTTTGGGTCCTAATTTTAATTATTTCTTTGCATTGTATGTTGATGATAATAGCTAGTTAGTGATACTGTAAAGAAAATGACATAAAATAAATAGTTACCTTGAAAAAAATTTAGGGTATTTATTCAGGTTGAAACTTTAGTCAAATCTGTTTGGTTGTCAACCTATCAAATTGATTATATGACAGAAGTCATTAAACCTGATTATTTTAGTTTTGTTAACTTTTGTAAGTACTATAGATAAAAACAACAGTAAAATAGAAACTCATCTGAGAATTTATTTAACCATTTCACATCGGGCTCATGTAATTTGCAGAAAACAAGTCACGAATTTGACTTGTACAACACTACACTGGAATTTCTTAGTGTCCTCTTAAAAACTGGTAATTATATTGTACACAAAGAATGACATTATTATAAGTGTTTTTATTAAAAATGTTATTTATCTATTGTAGTTACTTGCATTCAAACTCTTAACAAATTGAGTGCAAGGCAATTTTTATTTTAAGTATTAAAAAACAAAACAAAAAAAAAACTTCATCTTATAGTTTTTATATTTCATTTGCATAATCTTTGGAACCTCCTAAAAGAATATCCCACTTTTTGTATAAAATATGCTTACTAATTTTTCAGCAGAATAAGAAATGACAAATGTTTATTTTATCCTGAACATTATGCACCTCTAGAACTGGTCTGCAAAATTTAATTTGCCAGTTTGGTTTTCTGGTTCTTTCTTGCACATTATCATCTATAAAGTAACACACTTTTCAGTCCCATGTAATTTACTTTATTTGTATTATGTTAGCAATATCTGGATCTGTATGTTACTTCTGTTCATGAGTTGCTTCCTTTTGAAAGGTTTAGTAAACAATAATTATTACAATCTTAAATTGATGTAACACAAAAGAATACAAGAAATCCATCAAAAATGCTTGAGGAAAAAATAAAAATAAAAAAATGCTTAAATTCTGCTACAATTCAGAAGTTGATATTGCATAAAGACAGCAAAATAAAGCAACTTGGAATTATTCATATTGTACCATTTTATTCATGTGATGTAAAACAAAATTTTCATTCTGTCTGGCTCTTATTCACTTAAGAATCATCACTGATCAATACTGAGAAAAAGAGTGGTGTGTTTAATTAAGAGCCAAACTCGAACATTTTTGCATAGATAGTATTGCTATAACTACAAGGTTGAGAAAATAAAAAATTTATTGCATAACCCAATTTTTTCACACTTTTCTTTAGAAGCATCATCTGTTTTGAGGCCTTAATCCATGTAGTTGCAAATGTGTTTCATGGATGCTGCAATACTGTCTTATTATTACATCAGCAGTTTTATAGGCTGTCTTGGTGTTGCTTCAGTCATTTTTTGACAACAAATAGAGGCTCTTACTGAGAGTTAATTTAGAAGCCTATCTATTATAAAGTGCATATAATCCTACCTCGGCCAAGGGTTGGGAGTTATCTCCATGGAAGAAAGCAATCAGTTTCTTTGAGCAAAGAGAAGCTTTCAACAAGGAGAATGCTAGAAAAATTACATTTAACCAGCCTACTGAGAGCTACAGGGTGCAAAGACAGAGAGAGACTGGCTGTGAGGAGTAGCAGAAGGAAAAGGCAGAAAGAAAGCTTCCACAACAGTTGATGATTTTGTTCTGAAATGTATGAGCCTGCAGAATCATTGACTGTCATCCACAGACCTCAAAAAGGCATGGCAAGAAACTTCAGGGGTCACTTTCACCATATGCACTGTTTGGTTTCATCTATGTTCTCTTATCTCTCAGCAAGACACCCAAAAGAAAAAAAACAAAAAAAACTTCTTCACCAACAAGATGAGGCTCAAGTGGGACAAAGAATGTTGACTGAACTGAAGCAATATGGAGCAAAGTGATCTTCTCAGATGAATCAAAGTTCCACTTACAAGAAGCACTTTGATGT